CCCATCGGCGTTATTCCCGTCATGGAGAACGATATATTCTTTTCCGTGCATGCTTTTTGTATCTCCGTATTCACTGGATTTCAGGTGTTCATGTACGAGGTAGGTGGTGATGTTTACAATACGAGCTTGTTTTCCTTGGTCGCCTGTCTGTGAACATGTGCTGTTTGGCTGTATCAGTGTTTTGCAGTTTTTGACCTAGCAGTAGGTGCACTGAGTGCATCACTAAATGCGTTTCTTTACAACTGCACTTCTAGGTCAACCCTAATCAGTCCTAAGTCTTTCTCTCAGTCTTTTGATCTCCGAATCTTCTCACCTTGGTCCCGTTCAGTGTACATTACAACCATTTGAAATGTAGTAGAATCTATCAAATTAAACCGGGCTACCTACCGTCACAGATGTATCGTAAACAGGCAATGGGAATATCTTCGCAACGACTGATTTCTTCGTTCGTTATCCCACTCCTTATGGAACCTTAACTGTTTTGGAAAACCATCCCTATTCCTTGAAGATTTCCGTTTTTGAGTGTCTCTAACGGCTGCTGCTGCCTCTTAGAGAGGACAGTCTAACTGACACACTTCTCTTCGATCATAACCCTCCAGATGAAGCACTAACCGGGAGACTCACTCGTGTCGGCAACTGCGGTCTTCCCGGAGGATTACCTTAGGATGAGATTAACTGATTAGCAGTAATACCAGCCATGATCCAACGACGCAGTCACTGACGCTTGCATTCAGACGATTGTCACCAAACTCTAACCACCCCGATTCTCTATCCCTGAGGAAGACGAAACGATTGGACGTCAGTTATTCGTTGAGGTCATGGGATTCAACACATGGCCGTCTCCTCTACAGTTTCACTGTTTTGGACGAAATTGTGAAGAAATCTATTTTCGGCCGGAGCTTTATAAGCTTACTCCACAATTAAGCTTGAAAGTAGTCTAGTAAACCATGCAGTTGCAATACGCAGAAATTACTGAGGTCAGAAAATAGAATGAAGCAACGTGAGATACATCTGTGGAGTCCTCAAACTCACACTAACCCAATGGCACTATCCATACTCCAAACTTTGTAAGTTTGACACCCTGAGTAGATCACTAGGACCAAGTGTACCAGACTCATTACACACAAAGCCGTTTTCTACGATTCACCGACGCATAATCTGATGGCCTAAAAAGGACAACTACCACCAAACTGCCGTGTTCAGCAGAATGACAACAGTCGCAAACCATGCCTGTTACCCTCATTCTGGAGTGCGATTATCATATATGTGAAATTTACATACCCTTTCACATGTACGGAACAAAATCATCAGTCTGACCGCATTCCTTAGTTGTTTATGTTGAGCGGTCAGTATTGGTCAATGATATAGATGGCGAGTGAGAGGCCTCTTGAGGAAAATGAGTTTCTTGCTCGCTTGTCAGTTATTGAACCACTTGAATCTCACGATCGGAGGTCTTTTGTTCGATGCTTATGTCAAATGCTCAATTTAATTCTTCCTAAAAACGATGCTGGGATACAGAAAGGCCAGCTAAAAATTGTTCTAGTTCACTTCAATGAATTCAAGTTCGGGGACTCAGGGTTATTCCAGAGATTACTTCCTCTGTTTCTGTTCATTTATATATGTTTACCATATGCATATATCTCCTGCGCTTCGTATTCATTAATGGGCTGTTTGCTACGTTCAGGCAATCTCCACTTATTTATAGCGAGCGGGACAACGAGTTTCCAAAATTTGTATGGGCATTATTGGCTTGATTGTTGCTTATTGCATCATCAACGCTATCCTGGCAGGTGCTTCGGTGTTCCCATGGATCACCTTCCTTTACAACGTGTCCTACGTGAAACTGTTCATCACTCTCATCAAATACATCCCACAAGTGAGTTCCGGCAGTGGTTTCACTCATTTTCTCCTATCTTTTCTTTCGCGCTAGATGATGTCTTTCAATTTTCGTAAAATGAGTCAAGTTGGTCCGTCTGTTCTTCTGTAGCATGCATTCAATTCGGAACTGCTATGCAATTCAAAGGAAGTGTGGTTGTCGAGAATGTGCGCAGGGCTACTGTCTTGAAAAAAAACTTTGCAGACTATCACCCGCCGATTTGTGCTCCAGTCGATTTTTTCCTTAAAACCCTCTTCCTTGAGGAACCCTTACGAGAAGAATTATCTCACCGAGGAATTCGGTAGGAAAACAACTGTTCCCAAGGTCGAAGGAGTCGTTGTTTCTGGGAATACGTCTGCCAAATGATCGACTTACTATCCTAAGGGAAACGTCACATGTAAAGGCCACCTGGATATCTTGGACTACCAATGTAGACCGTCTATACGATGACCAGGGTTCATAAACTTGCCGCATCAGTAAACCCTTGAATGTGCACACTGCACCAAGCATTGGGATATTCGCTGTCGTAACATCGTTTGAGGATGTGCTTCCACATGCTTCACATGTGATGTTACAAATAAATTCGCCCTGTGTATGAAGAGAATACGTCCTCGGTGGATGCTGTTGACCAAGGCTAGTCCTGTATTTCATATAGCACAAGATTATAGGGCAGGTCTTGTTTCTGATGCTCATCCTTATTTTAAACTACTTTTCGTCGGCAGTCGCAAAATCCCTTCGCAGGTAAACACCACAGTTCACAAAGACATTGCCTTCGTCAACTGCTGTAAAAGTGTCAAAATTCTGGAAAATTCTAGGACCCCTTCATGGTATCAAGTTGCTGACTTTGCCGAGTAGAAATCGGTCACCATGGGAATGTAACGCCGGTAATACCTCCATGTCTGGCCTGTCGATTTGAACTTAATCGCCAATGATTTAGCTTCATCGCTGAGTCCAGATGATCGAAAACTTGGGTTTGAACGGAGCAGTTCAGAATTGCTGTCGCTTTGTACATCTTCCGAAGGACCTCGATCTCCGCACTGATAGTGAGCATCGCTGTCGTAAGGTTAATTGACGCGAGTTTGAGTTGGATGTCTTACGCACTGAATAAGCAAATTAGCAATGAAAAACGGTTAGTAAAACCGACGCATACATTCACACTTTGGTATAAGTAATCATACCATTTGTTGCCGTGACTTGACAAGGTGAAATGTTTTACTATGACAGCGCAGTACCTCGCGCCTCACACCTCGTGATAATAAAGGCCAACTAGTAATCTTGTCCTCCGCTCCAATGAGATACAGCAGAATATGCCGATATAAAGGCGCAAACTTATGAAGCGGGAATGGAGAAGTTTCAGTCGAACCATACTCATTACAAATGCTGCTAAGGTTTTCAGGTGAGAGCACTGGAAATCGTTACTGAAATCTTACTCAACGAGATGCTACTATGAGCTGATCCCGCCCATTTTTCGCTTATTAATGCTTTGACACAAGTTAGTCAAGTTAACATTCTTGATTTTTGATGGGATTTTTCATCGGCTAACTGAAGCTCATTTACTCCCATTCACCGGGAAATGGAATGGAAATAAAAAGCATGGGTTGTCCCACAACGATTCATGCTTTGGAATAAATTACGATTAGAACCTGATCGATTTTTGACTGTAGTCCAGTGTTCTAACATGACCCAATTTTCGATTGCACGGTGGAATTTGTACCCATGTGGAACTTGGATGAAATGTGATTCGGAGTCGAGTTTTCTGTCTATATCGTTCGGTCTCAAAAAACGGTGATTGGTACCGGTGGATCTCCACTGCTCCTTTCTCCACTTGTGCTATTGCTAATGTGGGCTAGTGGTTCTTCAAGTTTCAAGCTCCGTTCCCTCATTTCACATGGTTTTCGTGGACAATTACGTTCTTGCGAGTAAACGTGCCAACGGTATTCATACAAACATAAAACCATAAAGTTGCTGGTAAGTTGGTGTAAGCTTGTCACTGAAATGTCAAGCAATATGCTGTGTTTCTGGAGACGCCAAAGCCTTCCCCGTCCAAAGTTCTGTACAGTCCCACGCGACACTCAACTGGTGAGTTTAACCACTACCTGATGTTAGCTGAACAATTAAGTCACGGGCAGGCAGCTTTATTTACAACTAGCATATTCGCCCACGAGGCCGTTGAACGACGTTTAACTATCAACCAGAGTTTGAGTTGAACTTATGATTGCCGGTCTTCTGGTTCTTCCTGTGATAAGACTGTGAACAAACCAATAGCTGACGTTTCGACCTTAGTCATGCCTCAATATTTTTTACACAAGTTCGACCGGTTACACAGTTAAAAAAATACAAAATAAGTCGTGCAGCTATAGCACTCTTTCGGTGCCTAACTACCATGCCACCAGAAAGGAGCACGAGGGCTGGGATACTGCCAGGAAGTCGAGAGGTAGAGGTCAGGTTCGAACCAAGGACCTTCCGGTCAGTAAATTTACGCTCTAAACACTGAGCTATCTCGCCCCCCATCACAGATAATTGCCTGATACATTGTGTTGGTCGTTCTTATTAAACCTAAAAGAGTCTAAATGTGAAAAGTTCGAGCACCCACCCGTGACTGTTCGCTGTTGCTGTTGATTTCGTCCAACCTATCAGGCTAAAAAAAATCACCATAGGTAACTATGCATAGGCAGTTTTCCGAGCGAGACTGCTCGTCTATTATTTCATCTCACACATTGCTTTCACCTACGAAACGTTTTCCGGACTTCCCTAAACTCGACTGAACCTACCTGTTGTGTTGGTGTATTGGGTCACGTTGCTTTAGCATGGAATTGTAAACCTACATGACTTGTCTGCCAGACGAAAGTCGACTGTGTGCTATCTCGCCAGGACGCAGCTAGCGTATCGGATATAGTTACAACCTCCTAAACGTGCAAATGCTACGGCGGTTAGGCGGCTCACTTCGCACATTACTTTATCTTCCAGCTGAGACGCCCGTTTGTCCTAGTGTATTAGTAGGTGGAGGAGACCCAAGCAGAGGGGTGGGATAAGACGTTTCTCCTGAAATGGGATGCCCAAAAGACAGCAATGGTTAATAGATACCTACCAACCACGTACCCAATGCTTTCCTATCTCCACTATAAAGCCACTAGCTTTAAGTTTAGAGTCAGTCGGTGACTGAAATGTATTTATTTATTTTCGTGCCCAAAAAGTGTCTGGAAGCTATTACCTGAGTTTTTCTCATTGACAGGCTATCATGAATTGCCGCAGACGCAGTACAGTCGGTTGGAGCATCGGAAACATTTGTCTCGACTTGACTGGCGGGACCCTGAGCCTGCTACAAATGTTTATTGTGGCTTATAACTTTGGTAGGTATTTTTGCCTCCTTGTTCAGCATTTGATTACGACATCCTTTTTCAAGGCAACTTAACGGATTCTTCATAAAGACATCATATCATTCCTGTTTATACCTTCAATCTTGCAGCAACTACGAGTTCATCCTCATGCTTATCCTCGAACGCAGCAAATTTCGAAATTACACTATTCCAAATGTGCTGTGTCCATCTACCCTTTCTGCACATAACCGCCGTATAACATGCACGAGGGCTGGGATACTTCCAGGCTGCCCACTTCTAACCAGGAACCGTCGAAAACTCAGGATAGGGCTCGAACTGCAGACTTTTGGACCAGTGGTTTGCACTCTAACCGCTCAGTTTTCTCGTAATCCTCCACCCACTTCGGACTGGCCGTCTCTGCTTGTTGTAAAAATTTGAAAATTTAGGCGGTTATACGTCCTGTCCCCAGTACACACTGGCCTGTAAAATTGTTTGGTAGACAGCTCCCAATCACCGAGAGCCTATTTAGACAGCGAAACCTTCTTATCAAACAGTGTATCTGCACTCTGAGACTGTTCCAAAAACTTACTTACGTCACATGGGCATGTGACTGATGGAGAGTTATAGCTTCATCTGTTCTGCATGCACTTGCATACATTAATGATCCTTTAGATTGGTCATGTGGGTTCATTGCATCAGCTAGATCTCTCTGTAGACTTTTCAGATGGATAGATTCATGCCGCACACATACATGTTGCGTATCTTTGGTGGTTTGAAGTTGGATATATTTTATTTGGTAAACACACCCGGGAATGATGTTTTTACGTTCGTCACGGATCTGTTCTACCACTGACTCGTTCGCCGATGGAGCACTACAAGCCCGTCACTATACTTTTTTGGTCTGGTTTATGATTGAGTTTGGTGATCCAATACAGGCGAACCAGTAGAAGCTAGGATCATGAATCGTTATACCTTGCCGTGTCCATCATGAGAAGATTCACGCCGCTAACGTGATATTCGTTGCACATAGTATGCTGCTTACGCCGTCCGCTGTTTCACTGTGCCAAACTCTTCGTTTGGTTGCCGGTCGTCTGCTCACGCCGCCCAGAGAATATGAGGATTATTAGGTGGCAAAACGTCCTACGCTGTTCGTTTGTGCTGGTCACAGGGGGTTCATCCTTCCCCGTACTTCCATCGCGTACAACATGTATGCGGTTTACGCTGATAATGAACTTCCTAATGTGCAATAAGCACCAACAGATGTGATGGCCTCTGCTAGGACGATGGGACTGACCACGGCGATCGCCGAATCGTGTTATTCTTCCTTCCCATATGCGTTCGGTTGCCACTTTTTCGAAGTTGTGATAGATGAAGGGTGCTGCTAAGTTGCATGGCTAAGAATCGACACCGATAGCAGGATAGCTATCTACGAGGGTCTGCCAATAATGCTACGCACCAAATCCTCACTCTTTCATTGTTTCCGTTTTATCTTCCAGACGACTGGAGAAGTGGATTCGGTTCCCCAACGAAACTTGGTCTCGGACTGTTCTCCATTATGTTTGATGTGTTGTTCATGATACAACACTGGTGCCTGTTCCGACATGCTGAGGAACCCCTGCAAACGCTGTTGGTGATTGATGATCATTCACCTGAGTTGGTTTCTTAGGTAATGATGGGAATCGACGTCTCCTCAATCCGACGCCCATTTATTTTATTAGTTTATTTTATCTCATCCGCCGCGCACCATTGCCAGAATTCTTTTTTTAACTTTTCTCAGCCGATCTTCTATGTCTCTTTTTGGGTATTTAACTTAAACCCAACAATTCATCTTGTGTTTCTTTATAAGTGAATAGAGTTCGATTTCTGAAAGTCAAGCGTATGGGTTGCATCGTTTGGTGGAAAGCATTGAAAAGGGTGGACTGTCATTGTCGCCCTCTCTGAATCTCGTTACTTCTCTGGCCATGTACTAACATATACTTGAAGTGTTTGCTACAGTTACCCGCTTACAATGTACAGTCCTCGGACATTAGGAGCCGTTCGTTTAAAAATATCGTCAGCTCTTGGACGGCGTATGACACTAATTTTTTTAAGTTTGAGGAGAGGCGCACAGTTTCTTCGATTAACAGTCGTGTGTAACTAATTGTGTCACAATTCCTACATCTGAAATTTGTCGACCATAGGAGCAAATCTCGGTCTGACTGCGGAACAAGCATCCCACATTGTACGGGTGTTCACATGCAGTGTCCTCGCCTAACTGACTGTTTTGTAAAAATCAGAAGTACTCGACACCGTTGTTTTTTTTTCGAAATTTCCACCTGCATGGTTATCTGATGCCATATCTGCTTGAAGTTTCTTCAGGTCATCACTGTTGAACGCGCCGACTATAATTGATGCCTGTTTCGGATTTTCGACGTGGGATATCCTTAGTCTGAATTGTGCCTTGAAGCGATGTGACTGTCTCTGTGTTCCGAGCGTAGAGCAATACGGAGCGCAGCCGTAATCTTCATTGCTCAGAATTGAAGGCTTAAAGTCATTCCAATCCTAAGTGCAAATCAATGTTAGCCTTTGGCGGGGTTCTAAAACAACTTGGTCGCAAGCTATATGTTTGTAATGTACTACTCATAAGGTTGCTGAAAATCCATCGACAGCCCACGACCGGTTTCGCCCTT